GCCCGCTCCATTTCCCGGTGCGCTCTGGTTGGGACCCGCTCCGTTTCCCGGTGCACTCTGGTTGGGACCCGCTCCGTTTCCCGGTGCGCTTTGGCTGGGGCTCGCTCTGTTGCCCAGTGCGCTCCGGGTCAGGCCCGCTCCATTACCCAATGCGTTCCAGCTGGGACCCGCCGCGTTGCCCGGTGGGCTCTGGTTGGGGTCCGCTCCTTGTGTGCTGTGTCCAGGGCCGGGATTGCTCCACTGCCCACTGTGTTTCTGTGTGGGATCCGCTGCGTTGCCCGATGCGCTCGGTGCCACTTCTGCTCTGTCACGCAGTCTGCTCTATCACCTGGGCCATCCCAGTGCCAGCTGCTCTGTCTTCGAGAGTAGCCCAGTGCCAGGTCTGCTCCATCACCTGGCATGTTCCTGTGCCATGTTCATTCTGTCACTTTGTCTGCTCCATCACCAGTCCAACCCAGTGCTACCTCCCCTCTGTCACTCGCTTAGCTCCATCCCCTGGTTGGCTCTGTCACCCCATCCCTGACAGCACTGTCCTGCTCCACAGCTCTGGGTTACTGCACCTCTGGGTCTGCCCATTTGCGGGAGCGAATTATTCCTGCAGGCACTTCTGGCTGAGACCCTGCACTTGGTGTCTGCCACTTGCAGTTCATGCGATGGGGACAGCTTTTCTATGCCCCTGGTGTGCATTCAGCACAGCGCTCTGCCCCTTGCTCCCAGTGGTGTCCTGCCTTGCTGCCCTCCAGCAGCTCCATCCCGCTGCTGGACCAGCCGTCCCACTGCTGTCCCTGTGCCCCTCTTCTGCCTGTCCCCCTGCTCCTGCGTCCGGCTGAGCCAGGATCCCATGCAGCACCGGTGCAGGCTGCCAGCCTGCCTTGGCACCAAGGCAGAACTGTCCTGTGGCACGGGTGGAGACCGGGGACGTCGTGGCCAGTGCAGGCCCCCTGGGCAGAGCTGGGAAGGTGGCAGCAGGGGTGCCCCGATGGGATGCACAGAGGCTGGGGACAGTTGCTGCGGGGTGGCCTGGCCATGAGCAGGCTGTGCAGAG